AGGGAGATCAAAAAGTTAATTAAATGTAAAATATTAAACCATAATATAAACATTTGAAAATAGGAGAAAATATTTGTGATATACAATCAGGCAAAAAAAAATTCGACTTGACACTCAAAACACAAGTGAAAAACTAATGAATTAGACTTCATCAAAGCAATTTTTGCTTTGTGAAACACCCTATAATGAGGCTGAAAAGTATTGTATGGACTGGAAGAAGATATCTGCAAACCATGTATTTGACACAAAAGACTAGTATTTAGAATATAAAGAACTCTCAAATCTGAACAGTAAAAAACAAACAGTTCAGTTAAAAAATGGACAAAAGTCATAAAGAGACACCTCACCAAAATGGTTCTACATATGACAAATAAGCACACAAAAAGATGTCAGGCTTCATTAGCTATTAGAAAAATGCAAACTCAAACCACAATGATACACCACGTATGTAGTGATTTTAGCAGAATTCCAAAATACAAAATAGTGGCAAACACTAAATGCTGTTGAAGATGCAGAGAAATCAGATCTCTCATACACTGATGATGAGAATGTCAAATGGTACAGCCACTCTGAAAAACAATTTGGCATTTTTTTCTTATAAAACTAAGTTATATCTACCATAAGATGCAGCAATTGCCTTCTTGGGCAGCATGCACAATTTCCAAAGAGATGGGAATGAGATTTTCTCCATACACAATCACATCCTCTGCAATGGGGAAATTTTTCTTTCTTATTTTCTAATACTTAAACTTTCATTTCTCTTTCTTGAATAAAGCACTGATTAGAATTTACTCTGGTGATTTTTGTGGTAAGAATAAATTTTGTTCCCAATCTTAGGGGAAGAGCAGGCACTTTTTTAAAGTTTTTTTTTTAGTTGTATATGGACACAAAGTATTTTTTTATTTTTATGTGGTGCTGAGGATTGAACCCAGTGCCTCACACATACTAGGCAAGCACTCAACCACTGAGCCACATCCCCAGCCCAAGAGCAGACGCTTTTTCACCAGAAAATCTTATGTATGAATTGTCACAGGAGCATTATACATAACAGCCTAAATGTGTAAACAAACCATTATCCTTCAACAGGTGAATAGTAGAAAAAAATTGCAGTATAGCCACACCATGGAATATTACTCAGCAATAAAAAAGAATGAACTATTGATATACATAACTTGAATGAAATTTGATAAAGATTACATACTGTATGAATTATACATACTATGAGATTTTGAAATGACAAAATTTTAGACATAAATGGCAGATTAAAGGTTGTCAGGTATAAAGATCAAGGGCAAGGTACACAAGGAGGAAGGTGAAGATGGCAAAAGAGTGGTCCTTGTGGTAATCAACTGTTCTGTCCCTTGACTGGTGTTGACCATGGGAACCTATACATTGTGATAAAATTACTTAGAACAAAACACACACACACACACACACACACAACACACACACACACACAACACACACACACGTACAAATAAAACTGGGCAAATATAAATACTGATGTATTATATCATGTCAATATACTGGCTGTGACATTGTTCTGCAATTTTTCATTGGAGGAAACTGGATCAAGGAGAGAGGCGATCACCCTGTATAATTTTTTATGATTACACCTGAATCTATAATCATAGATTATAGATTACCTTAAAATAACAACCAGCAACACTACAAATCCGAACTTTCTCCTCACCTTCCCTCTCCTGACCTCTGAGCTAATTGTTAAACATTTACCAAACTTGTGTTTGCAGAATGAACTTTGTATTAGTAAAGTTCATTCTGGTTTCCTCCCTAAGTGCCTCACAGGAGGCAAAGTAGGTGAGTGAAAGTAATGAGTAAGTAGGCTATCTTTATTTCTCTAGACCTTGGTTTTCTTTATCAGTAAGATGGAAAGTTAGTACTAGAGGAAGGAAAGTGAACACTTATAGAAAACCCACGTTTAACTATGTCTCTTTCCATTACCCTTTCAAAAAGCCCAATAAGCCACACATTATGATATGGTTTAGATGTGGTTTGTCCCCCAAAATTTCATGTTCTCAGGGCTTGGTCACCAGTGTAGTGGTGTGGAAATGGTGGAACTTTGAAGAGGTGGGGGCCAAGTGAAAGATGATTAGATCATTGGGATACTCCCTTCAGAAATGATTAATGTAGTTGTCAGGAGACCCTGGTCCCACAAGAGCGAGTTGTTAGGAAAGAGCAGACCTTGCCCCTCTCTGCTCTTGCCTTGCCATGAGACCCATTCCACACATGTTCCCATCATTTTGATTCCATCCACCATGAGGCTTTCACCAGAGCTGAGAAGCCAGCACTATGCTCTTGAAGCTCCAGAACTCTGAGCTAAATAAAGCTCTTTTCTTTACAAAGTACCAAGTCTCTGGTATTTTGTTATAGTAATGGAAATGGACTAATATGTATCATGAGTGTTTGTGTTATGGATGGAAAAACAGGCTGAGAGATATGCCAACTACAAAATGGAGCTGAGGTTGGAGTTCAAAATCCAGGTTTTGTCATTACTGCCTGGAAGCCTATCCAACTCCCTGAACACAAATCTTATAATCAGGATCTCCTAGTAGAAGGTGAGTAGGGCAGAGAATGCCCTACCTTCCGAGTAGAAAGGGCTGGAAAGTTTAAGCTCAAACCCACCAAACAAATATGTTCACACCCTAAGCCCAGACCTCACCAGGTTGATATCCCTCCATTTACATTGCAAAGTGACCAGGGACAGCTGCTAATTGCCCCTTGGCTGGGCATCAGTCCCCTCCGTTGCCAATTCCAAGATAGCCCCAAAGTGGGAGAATACCCTCCATAGGGGGCAGTCACAGGATTGGAGTCAGCAGCTATGAACCACAGGAAACTGGGTATCAACCCTGGACAAAAGTGCTCAGGGGTATTCTCATTGGTCCTAGGGGCCAGGATTGACCCATGGGGACAAAAAACAAGGTTGCCTTGGGTTGGAGGCCACATTGTCCAAGACACTGGCTTCCTATTCTGGGCAATCTTCTTGATGCTTCCTTCACAGGCCAGGATGGTCAAAGGCAAGCCTGTTCAGTAGTTAGAGCCCAGAGCTGGACGTCAGGTGACATGGACATCACCGAGTCCTACAACTTCCTCTAAGACTTTGGATGAGCCATGTTCCCCTTCTAGGATTCATTGTCTTCATCCGCAAAAGGAGGGAGTCAGATTAAGGGTTCCTAAGGCTTCTGGAAACCCTGTCAGCCCTCATGGTGAATGTGAGTTCTAAGACTCACATGTGAGACCTGCTTGAATCCACCACAGCTCCCAAATATTATTGGAACAGAAGTCCTAGTCGCATTTCATTTTTCTTCCAAGGCTGTTTATTGCCTAACAAAATGCACTTAGTGGTAAATTCGTGACTGTGATGTTAAGTGTAGGCTACAAACCCAGAGACCAAAAAAAAAAAAAAAATAGGGGAGGGGTGGGGTGGCACTGGGCTGGAAGACGGAGGGCTTTGCAAAGGGTTGGGAAGCCTCAAATTCACAGGAGCATCTCATAAACATGGGCACCATTCCTTATTCATGCACCTCCTATGCCCTGTCTGGGTTCCGCGTGGTCTCCACTTCTTGTTAGCTTTTCAGCTGCGCACCAGGCCCCAGCTGGCAGTGGCTAATTGCAATCAGCAGGTGAGAAATGTAGGTTCTCCGAAAAGGAATTATCTCCAGCGCTGGGAACCATTCTGGGAAATGTAACAGACCTGGGAAGAGAGGGGGAGATGTTTAAAACCTGAACTTCTGTGAAAAGCATTAATTGAAAAAGACAGCACCGCACACCAGGACCCCATGACTTGCTCGCCTGAAAATATAATGAAGCAACTTAGTGTGGAAGGAAAGACGGGGGAGCATTTCCATTTCTGCACAAGCAGCTCCTGCCTCGTGTGTACAAGCCCTGCCTGCCCTCTTTTTCCAGGAGACCCGGAGAGCACAAAGGTTTGCTCTCAGAGTTTCATCTTTTACCTTTATAGTTTTCTGCATGAGTAAAATCACTTCACTGAGCTCAGGACTTTTTATTTATTTTTTTTTAAAGACAGACTTCACACAATCTGCTGGGAAGCGGAATGACTGGAGGAATAAGGTTCAAAGTGGATTCACAATCTCTTGAGGTCACCCAACACCCAGGTGTTCATTCGGCCTAGGGCCAAGGGAGGGAGTGGAACATAGGTGCAGCCATATACCCTAAAGGTTGTTCAGTTTCTTAGGGAAGCAAGAGACCAGTCAAGGATCAAAGTCCCTCGTGGAGGCCCAACTTGTTCTCAGCCCCAGGCTGGGCTTTGGGGTTCCTGTCAGAAGCAGCTGGAGATGGGAAAGAACCCGGGTGTCCTTCTTGCAGGCTTCGCTGCCTGGCCCTATACACGCCCACCTGGTCACCTGCAGAATCGGCTTCTCTGTGTGTGTAATCAGGAAAGGGAGCACAAAGCGTACCAGAGGGGTGATTTGAATTTCATTTTCTCAATATGTGCCCCTGTGGGGAGCGCGGCGTGGTGTGGTGCATGCTGATTCAAAGAAAATTGTCTCTGCTCGCTGAGGTTTAGGGCTGGCCATAGACAGCTCACATTGCACACGGTCATGGGGTGCCCTGAAAATCGCCTGAGGGGGTCACACAACAGGGGACCCGTCCAGCAACCTTTACTGAGAAGCTGTGTGTTTCGGACAGACACCAGCACCCCTGCGGATTGCAGGATTGCTGTGTCCTCATCTATAAAATGAGTGAATTGCACGCCGTGACCCTTCACCTCACTTCATCTCTCAGATTCCATAAAAGGCGAGTGATAAGATGTGGCTTCAAACACAAGAGATTCACTCCTCAAAATAAACGTTTCCTGGGGTTTGGGGAGGGTGGGTGGCTTTGTTTTCTCTTCCTTTTGGTTGTTTGTAGGACAAAGAGGAGGGAGAGGTTAGGCTCTGGAACTGATCTCAAAAGGAACCATAGTCCCTGGTGGGAGGTCACACTAAGGACAGAAACTCTGATGAGGCCCAGAAATCTTTGTCCACCTGCAACCTCCTCTTTCCTCAACTCCCAAGGCACCCTGTGAGGCAAAGGAATGTCAGAAGAGAGATTAAAGTCTCAGGGGGAGGAGATAAAGAGGCCTCAAGACCTTCAGCCTTGGAGCCAAACCCCAGGCTTTGTGATCAAAAGACAAATAAACAGCCATTCCCACTGGGTCTCTCAAATCTGCTGAGCGGCACAAATGTTTCCTTTTTATAAACAAGCTTACCTGAAGGAGGCGAAGCAAACCAGACCCTGAAATCCCATGCAGTTTTTGGCACAGGACCCCTTAGGAGAAACTGCTGTGGACAGCTTATCCAACGCATTTCTCACATCTCTTGGAAATAAGATGTCCAAGTTTGAACAGAAACTACAAACAAACAAAATCAGCCCAGCGCTTCATGCCAGCTTCCCCAATCTAACACAGGGAAGGTTTAGAAATATGGGAAGGTTTAGAATTAGAAGTCTTGGAAAGGATTTTAGAGTGGTCAGCAGATCAAGAGGAAGGCAGAGAGAGGATATGGCCCTTAGCCTCCTTTCCACAAATATTGGGCTCTGCCCCTCCAAGTTGCATAACTCTAGGGTGTGCTATTCGCATCAGAGTTTGCAGAGTTGTGTTCCAAGGTATCACACAGCAAGGAATATGTAGCTGATGGTGCCCTGGGCTGTGAAGCAAGACCGAGGTCTCCACAAGGACTTGCTATGTGCCACCAGTTGGATACACCAGAGTACAGACAGAGCAAATCTGAGCCTCAGTGAAACTCCATTCTCATTATTCACTTACATAGCATATTAGAAGGTGATGTTACTATATAGTAAGAATGCACTAGAGGGGGACAGATCAAGGTGAGGAGGATATTATTCTATAGTAGGGTGGTTGGGGAAGGCATCATTGCTTTGGTGTGACTTGAGCAAACACAGGAATAGGTGAGAGTGGGCTTTGCCAGGAGATTCAAGTGGAGGAGATAGTGCAAATGTCCTGAGGTAGGAATATTGCCAACATGTTCCATAGCAGGTAGAGCCAACATATACCATGGGAGCCAGTGGAGCTGGAGTGGAGAAACTGAGGATAACTCCACAGGTTCTGAGTGCACTGGAGAATGACAGAATATTACAGGCATTCTTCTTCCTCACTGCCCCATTGACCTGCTCTGCTGGGCTGGGATCTCAATAGTCACCTCTTAGAGCCCCATGGCACTGGGTCTCCATTAACTAACACCTAGTCTGTGATATGGTCCTGTTTGATTGATAATGAACTAGAGGTGATGCCCCACCCCTCTGGCTCTCCGGATCACATATATTTCAATGAGGGTAATTCAAAAGATTATGCAAGCTTTGGATCTCATACAGACACCAATGGTAATGCCTTAAGAGGACCAGGAGCTGCTGAATTCTCCTTGTTCTGAGTGCTAGGGACCTAAGACCATGGGGTCTTCTACCAAACCCCTGCCACTGTCATCTTATCAACTCTCTCAGTGGTGCATTTTGCAGCTATAGGCATCATGGGGATGAAATTGTGTGGGAAAATGGAAGGTGATGGTAGATATCTGTCACTAACTTCTGCAGTCTCACTGTAGAGGTGACACTGTCTCTCTTCTATTTCACCACACACAGAGTGATCAAATAAAAGTTTGCCTCTCACCTACCACCTTTTCCAACACAGAAAGTGGAGAAGCTTCTGGACACAATGAACTGCTCCCTGGACTCATCAAATTTTGCTCAAACTCTCTTGCCCAAGCACCTAGTATTGATTCAGTGTCTGTTATCTTTAAATACTCAAATGCCCTGGCTCAGAGAGCAATGCAAGGGCTGGGGGTATAGTGCACTGGTATACTTGCCTAGCATGCACAAGGTCCTGGGTTCCATCCCCAGCACCACACACACACACACACACACACACACACACACACACAGTAATAGAAGCCCAGCACAAAATGAAATGGCACTAGAGGGTGACCTGAGCATTTTGATTATGAGTCCTTGGCTGGGTACCCTGAAGACTTCCTCTGCCAGAACCTCCCCATTTGCTTTTCCATATTTCTAACACTAGCACTATGTACCACACAAGCAGTGTGTTATACTGGCAGTGGGGAGTTCTGGAAGCCTGGGGACCTGGGTACTGCTATATGTGTGACTATATCAGTCAGGCTTTGATCAGAGAAGCAGAAATCACTACAAGATTCTAGACTAAGGTCTTTATATTGAGCCTTCCATAGTTATGGATGATGATTATGTCATCTGTGTTGTTGATTGGCATCTGAGATTGATCCTGAAGACAGTGAGGATGGCAATTGGCAAGGAAAGATGAATAGCAATTGGAGGAGAATAAGGACAAACTAGTGTCCACATGGACAGACAGGAACTGCAATCAGTTTCTCATCATCTCTAGTTTCAGTCATACAAGTGAACTGCAGGCTAAACCAGTGTCCTGTACCACATGGCTTCACACACACCAAACCCAGGACTTCAGGAAGCCTAGGGAATAGGCCTGGTGGGAACTGGAGAGGCCCGGTTGCTGCTCATGCCAACAAGATGAGCCCACAGATCAGTGACAGTTCCCACCAGATGTCCTCCTGACTGTCACAGCGGAGAAATGACTGCTCCTTCACTTTCACCTTCAAAACATATGTTAATTTCTTTTCTGGCCAACCCTAAGGAGAAAAGGAAAAGAAAGGAATTTTGGAAATGTAGTTCCAGCTTAGCTACTACAATGCAAAGCCACCACAGTGACTTTGACCTCAGGCCTCAGTTTCCTGAAACATCTAGGGTTTGCCTGAAGGAAATTGTTGGAAGCAACTATTTTATAAGAACAGTTTTTCTCCTCCCTTGTTAGGAAGCCAGCGAAGACAATACATTGCTCCAGGTCAACTTGTCTTGTATGACAACATATCACAAGAGCTCAGAAGCTGTTACAGCATTGGGAGTCTCCACTACATGGAATGACTCCATCTTAGCTTTGAGAAACTCTATGTCCTGAGGATGCACATATTGTCCCTATCTGGGTCAGTAGAAGAGAGATGCTATCATCTATCTTCCCTAGTGGTGAGCCTTAGATCCATCATGCTATTAGACTAGTACTGGTCACCTGGTGAGGTGGTAGCAGAATGGCAAAAGTCCATGTTCATCTTTAGCAATCAGGCTGAGAAGTTCCAAGAGCTTGTAGAAATATCTAGAGACTGCCCACTCACTGTTCAGTTACCAATCTGGACCCAAACATTTTCACTAGGAGTTCATCTTCCAGGTGATTCCAGAAAACACTAATATAACCTAAGGAAAATCTTTCTGAGCAAATAAATGTGATCATTATAATCTGTGGAGAGCTTTCTGCAAAATATGCTCTGTTCAGACTCTGCTCTTAGGTACTCTGAAGGGGAAAGAAAAGATAAGACCATATACAACTAAGGGATGTGTGTATAGAAAATAAATAGGAAAAATAAATTGTTTAGAAAGAAAATAACAACTCTCATTTATGACCAGAGAAATGAAGAGTGAAAAGAGATGCCTTATCAAAAAGTACCTGACCTTGGGCCTTGGCTTTGCCATGGTGGAAGGAAGGCTGGGCTTACTGATCTCTGCTGAAATTCCATGAGTTTATGAGAACATCAACAGAGTCTAAGTCAAGGTAGAGAGGATCCCATATCAGTATATGTAAGATGCAAAGAAAATGCCAGAAGGAATGCCTTGATTCAGAGCATTTCTTAGGGACAAACA